CGGGATCCTCAGGCACGACGAATTCGTCGTTGTCGAGGCTTGCCTCGTCTCCAGAGGGAGGCATGTAATTATCATCCTCTACCTCTTCGTCTGCCGCTCTCTCATGGGGGCTGGCTTCTCCGTCCTCCTGTGCTGAATCTTGCTGGAGGGGGTTGTCTTCGGCACTGTCAGGGGTGTTATTGTCTCCGGTGCCAGAATCTTCATTCTTGCTGTGGTGGAATTTAGAGCGGCGCCGCTGACGCCGTCGCTTAGGCTGTTTCTTGGAGGGGTCTTCCTCTGCCATTCCCTCGCCATTCCCATCCTTTGGGATATCCACCATGTATATGTCGTATGACGAGGTGGTCTTCCAGTGCCCCATAGGAGCTGGTTCTTGGTCGTCTCCGGCATCGTCGTGCATACCGTTGATGTCTTCGGAGTCGTAGTCTAGCATGTCCATTACATCGTCGACAGTGGCTACAAAGTGGGTGGTGGGTGGGCTTTGAATTTCTTCGCCGCCTGCATCCCAACTGTCCTGTCCGTGATCCGGCCAGGGCTCTCCTGATAACAAGAGATACTTTAGCAAATTCAGGATGTCGCCAAAAGGTGAGTGCTGAAAGATGTCCGCAGCGGTGAACTCCATGATCGGCGCCCAATCAGATTCGATTGGTAGGGGCGCAGGAGGTTCGGAGTCCGGCGAGGAGTCCGGCACCTCGGAGTCACGAGCTTCACAAGGGACAAGGTCGGTATTTGGCTCCATCGCCGTAGATGTAGCAGCCCCCGAGGCGGTGTCTAGCCACCCATCCTCGATCTGCGAAGTCGGCTCCAAATTAAGGGTCGGAGCGGACTCGTGTGCGGCCTCCACGGCACTGTCTGGCAGCAGAGATAAATCATGCCCATCGAGACAGTGCGGCGCGCTCGGCTGTGGCTCGAATCCGTCAAAGATCAAGTCACCGCGGATGTCAGCCGTGAAGTTCAAACTTCCGAATCTGACCTGATGGCCAGGGGCGTAGCTTTCAATCTGCTCCAGATGGCCAAGCGAATTGGCCCGCAGTGCAAAGCCGCCGAATACGAAGATCTGCCCGGGGAGAAAAGTCTCACCCTGGACCGCGTCGTTGTTGATGATCGAAGGAGCCATCGGGCCTATATGTGATGGCACAGAGGAACTCTCAATGAAAGCACCAATGTCGGTGTCAAAACCGGCGGATCTCGGGTAGGGGGTCCCGAACTGTGCGTCTAGGCGGATGGTAACAGGAGACAAGGGACACGATGTTTTTACCCAGGTTCGGGCCCTCTCGATGGAGGTAAAACCCTACTCCTGCTTGATTGATATTGATGATATGGGTAGTACAAGAGTGGATCTACCACGAGATCAAGGAGGCTAAAACCCTAGAAGCTAGCCTATGGTATGATTGTTGTTATTGTGTCCTACGGACTAAAACCCTCCGCTTTATATAGACACCGGAGAGGGCTAGGGTTACACAGAGTCGGTTACAATGGTAGGAGATCTACATATCCGTATCGCCAAGCTTGCCTTCCACGCCAAGGAAAGTCCCATCCGGACACGGGACGAAGTCTTCAATCTTGTATCTTCATAGTCTTGGAGTCCGGCCCATGATGATAGTTCGGCTATCCGGACACCCCCTAGTCCAGGACTCCCTCAGGCCCCAAGATGGGATCTTACGGGTACAGAAGGTTGCGGCGGTGGAAAAGTGGTTTCGTGGCTCCCCCTGATGTTTCTAGGGTATAAGAGTATATATAGGCGATAGAAGTACGTCGCTGGAGCTACGAGGGGCCTACGAGGGTGGGGGGCGCGCCTACCCCTGGGCGCGCCCTCCTGCCTCGTGGCCTCCTCGTAGACTCTCAGACTTCAACTCCAAGTCTTCTGGATTGCTTTTGGTCCAAGAAAGATTCTCATGAAGGTTTCATTCCGTTTGGACTCCGTTTGATATTCCTTTTCTGCAAAACTCTAAAATAGGCAAAAAACAGAAACTGACACTGGGCCTCTGATTAATAGGTTAGTCCCAGAAATAATATAAAAGAGCATATTAAAGCCCATTAAACATCCAAAACAGATAATATAATAGCATGGAACAGTAAAAAATTATAGATACGTTGGCGAGGTATCAATTCTCCGAAGGATCCATGCGTCAGCGACGGAGGGAAGGAGAGGATGGGAGCAAAGAGCGGGAATTGGGCGGAGAGTGATGGAGAGTGGAAGAAGAGAGTGTGGGATTTTGGCGCGGAAACAGTGTGGGATGCTACAAAGGCGCGGGTGAGGGAGATGGGCCGAGAGTGATGGAGAGTGGAAGAAGAGAGTGTGTGATTTTGGCGCCTCCTGTTACCATCAACTTTAGACTCACGGTACGGGACCCCCTACCCGAGATCCGCCGGTTTTGACACCGACAGCGGGCTCGCTATTCCTTTTGGGCGGGCAAGGGGGCGAAGAGCGATGTTTCGCGTGTCCGGACTCCCGCACCCCCCCACACACACTCACACGTCTGTCTCCGGTTTAGAAAAAATCGTGTCCGGACCATTTCGCAGACCGATACAGGTCGGCGTTGGATGGCTTCCGCAGTCCGAACGGTTGCGGGAGGTTTATGGGTCAGCATTGAAAATGCCCTAAGTCTAGCATTGCTCGCGCAAATACATCCCAACAATGCTATAAGTTCAATTAAAAAACAATGATATTGCCATGCCGACGCCACGCCGTGCCGCCGGCCTGCCGAGATCCAGGTGGGGCCCAAAGGGCCAACATCTGGGTCGGGCGGGCGCCGCCAGCCCGCGCCGCCGCACCACCCCGTCGCCAATGACGACGCCGCCGCCCAGAGTCCGCCGCCTAGGGGCACCGCTCGAAGCCGCTCCGCCCCGCGCCGAATGAACCCCGGGTGGGGAAAGGCTAGGGGCCGCAGCCACCAGCATCGCCCGGGCCAGGCCCGCGGCAGGGAGGGAGAGGTTAGATGGGGAGCTTGTGGAGGAAGGTGCGGGTCGCGGCCGGTCGCCCGTGGGGGCGACGCGGTTGTGGTGGGGGAGGGTCTTTCAACAGACTATAAGGTAAGAGGATATTTGAAAGAAGTAAATACAGACACCCAAGGGAAAAGATTAAGACCAGCAACCATCATCGAACAGCTAGCAGGATGGATGGCCACCTGGCCACCGCAATAGTCGCCGTGTGCCTGGAATCCTAGGAATGTCCAAGGTTTCGAGCTTGCCTCCCCACCTACGACCGTACATCCGTGCATGATGATTGGTACATTATGCGACACTTTGTCAAATAATACATAGAAGTTTTTTTTGCGGGATTAACATAGAGAAATTGACTTGGGAATTGGGACAAAGCTATATGTTTTTTTCGAGAAACTTTCAATATATTCATATTCAATTATGACAGTACAAAAAACAAGAGAGGTAATAAAAATCACAACCATGTTAGTAGACTACCTAGCGACGACTACAAGCACTGGAGCGAGCCGAAGCGCGCCGCCGTCATCGCCCCTCCCTCACCGGAGCCCGGCAAACCTTGATGTTGTAGAGAGTCGGGAAGTCGTCGTGCTAAGGCCCCATAACCAGCGCACCAGAGTAGCATCCATCAGATGAAGAAAGTCGTAGATCAGAAGGATCAAAACTGTAAACACCTAAACAAAGACCGCATCCAAATAGACCCACCGAAGACCAGCACCGACCGAATCCCGCAAGATCCGGCGAATATAGACCTCCACACGCCCTCCGACGATGTTAGACGCACCACCAGGGCGGGGATAGAATCGTGGGAGACATTATTCCTTCTAAGGGACATCACCGCTGGCACACAGCCCCAACCAAGACGATCACTATAACAAGAACGAGAACGGGCCCCTCCAACGCGGACCCTTAGACCACCACAACCGTTTAGAATGGAGGAAGTATTTTTTTTGCTTGAAAATACTTATAGGAAGTAAGGGCATCTCCAACGCGGACCCTTAGACCACCGCAACCGTTTAGACCATGAGATCCGGACGTGTTGTGTTATCTAACGCGGGCCTGTATTGGTCTGCTGATCAGTGCAGACATGATTTTTCCCGCAAGCTAAAAACAAATTCATGCCGGCTCAGAGCGACACGGCCTCTCATTGGCGCACCGGCATTAAAGCGACGCATAGGCCAATAGCGCCACCCTCGTCGCTTCCCGGTGCACGCGATTGCTCCGCTTTCCCGTTCGTCCGTCTGCCGCCCATTAAACATGCGCAATTGCTGAGGAACATACTCCGGCGCCACCCACCTGTCTATCTACCTCCCACTATTAACCGCCCCGCCTCTTGCCCTACCCTCAGCCGGCTACTTAAACTCTAGCACCGGCCATAGCCGCATCCATCTTCCTCTGCTCCATTTCTCCTCTTTGCACCACTCCTGCCATGGCCTCCTTGAGCTCCAAACATTTGGGCTAGGCTCTTGCCTGAGCAGAGGACGGAGATGGCCGTCATTGCTACTGGCTGGATGCGGTGTCCGGTTTGCGAGTCAAGGTTGAAGATACCCTAAGAGCACATATTGCTTTTTAGCATTCAAAAGAAAGAGTATGTGGTCTTAGAATTTCGTTGACTTCAATGCACTCTATGCATGATACATCCGTGCATTATTTGGCAAAACATTGCACTCTATGCATGATACATCCGTGTAGTGCATTATTTGGCAAAACATTGCACTCTATGCATGATACATCCGTGTATTATTTGGCAAAACATGGCTGCTAGCTAATGTACAAGTCAACTCCTTGCAAAATCATTCTGCAACAGGTGGTTACTTTTACTCTATCGAGTTGCACCAATAGGACAACCCAGAAAAAAAAGGCGGGAAAAAATAAGGAGATCGAACGGCTAGCAGCCTAGCACATGGAACGCCAGTTCGACACCACATTATTTGCCGTCCGCCCTAAAACCCCAGTAATGACCAAGCCTGCGAGCAGCTATATATATCTGCATGCAATGCAGGCCATTAAATCCGCATCCACCGTAAAACTTGGTCTCCTACAGCAGACAGGTAGTAGTTGTCATGGCATCTTCATCTCTATCAGTCGTGTTGATCCTGTGCCTGGCCGCGGCGGCGTTGGCGCAGCTGTCGACGACGTTCTACGACAAGTCGTGCCCTTTGGCTCTTGAAAAAATCCAGAACAGCGCGGCGACGGCCGTGAAGAACGACCGCCGCATGGCCGCGTCGCTGCTCCGGATGCATTTTCATGACTGCTTTGTCCAGGCAAGTTTTTCACATACTCAAGGTATAGCCGGGCTGGACTTGTTCTGTTTCGGCTTTGTTCATTTGTTGAACACCTAGCTAGTGGCCAACGACCGTGCATATTTATGTTGCTTGGCTACGTACGTACATGCAGGGCTGTGACGCGTCCGTTCTGTTGAATGAGACTAGCGTGGGTGGCAACGAGCGGGGGGCATTCGGGGAAGTGGGATCGCTGCGTGGCTTCGAGGTCATTGAACAAATAAAGAAGGATGTAGAAGCCGTATGCAAAAGGCCGTACAGCAACAACGGCCCCGTCGTCTCCTGCGTTGACATCCTTGCCGTCGCCGCCCGTGAGTCTGCACGATCGATCGCCTAAATTTGCTCGTGTGCCAAGTAGACCAGTTGGTTTTTGCACAGTTCTTGAATCAATAGTGATGCTATTCATCACCTAGGATGCAGAATAAGTCATTCTTCATCCGAGGTAATCTTATGATCACTTCATAATTAAATTACATTTGGAATTCAAATAGTTATATTCTTATTGATAAGATAAGAAAATTTGGAGTTTATGTATATTTTACACTAGGTTTCATGTTTGTGATTTTACATAACATAAAATATTTCTTACGGCGATTATATATTTTCTTACGGTCTCTTTTACGTCAAAAATAAGACAAAACTTACATAACGTAAAATTGTAGTGTATTGGTGGT